TTTTTTCCCATTTTTCCCGTTTTTCGCCCCAGGAATCAGCCTGGCAGCAGCAGGAGCCCTCGGAGCGCCGCCTCAGTTTCCTCCCGCGCCGTTTCCGCTCTCTCCGCGCCGTCCCCGCGTTCCCGCGCTTCATCCACGAGCGCTTCGAGCGCTGCCTCGATCTCTACCTGTGCCCGCGGCAGCGCAAGATGAGGGTGAGCGCCACAAATTCACCGAAATCAACAAAATTCACCCCAATTCGGGGTAAACTACCGAAATTCCGGAAAAAATCGCCAAAATCTGGGAAAAAACCATGAAATTCCAGAGAAAAATCACCCATATCCCGGAGAAAATTCACCAAGTTCCAGGGATTATTCACCCAAATCTGGGCAAAATTCCTGAGAAATTTCACCAAAATCTGGGAAAAATCACCCAAATCTGGAGGAAATTCCTGAGAAAATTCACCAAAATCCGGGAAAATTCACCAAAATCCGGGAAAATTCACCAAAATCCAGGGGAAATTCCTGAGAAAATTCACCCAAATCCGGGGGAAATTCCTGAGAAAATTCACCAAAATTTGGGGAAAATTCCCAAAATCCCTGCGAAAATTCACCAAATCCCTGAGAAAATTTAGCAAAATCCAGGGAAAATTTGTGAGAAAAGTCACCAAAATATGGGAATAATCACCCAAATGGAGGGAAAATTCCTGACAAAATTCACCAAATTCCGGGGAAAATTCCAGAGAAAATTCACCAAAATCCAGGGAAAATTCACCAAAATCGGGGGAAAATTCACCAAATTCTGGGGAAAATGCCTAAGAAAATTCACCAAATCCCTGAGAAAATTCACCAAAATCCAGGGGAAATTCACAAAAATCAGGGAAAATTGCTGAGAAAATTCACCTATAACCAGGGAAAATTCCCAAAATCCCATGAGAAAATTCACCAAATTCCGGAGAAAATTCACCAAAATTGAGGGAAAATTCCTGACAAAATTCACCAAATTCCGGGGAAAATTCCAGAGAAAATTCACCAAAATCCAGGGAAATATCACCAAAATCTGGGGAAAATTCCAGAGAAAATTCACCCAAATCCGGGGAAATTCCTGAGAAAATTCCCCAAAATTCGGGAAAAAATCACCCAAATCCGGGGAAAAGTCACCCAAATCTGGGGAAAATTCTGGAAATTCCTGAGAAAATTCACCTAAATTCTGGAAAAATCACCCAAATCTGGGGAAAATTCCTGAGAAAGTTCACTGAAATTTGGGGAAAATCACCCAAATGCAGGGAAAATTCACCAAAATCTGGGGAAAATTCCTGAGAAAATTCACCGAAATCCAGGGAAAATTCCCGAAATCCTTGAGAAAATTAACCCAAATCCGGGGAAAATTCACCCAAATCCAGGGAAAATTCCTGAGAAAATTCACCAAAATCCGGGGAAAATTCCTGGGAAAATCACCCAAATCCGGGGGGAAATTCACCCAAATCCGGGAAAAATTGAGGAAATTCCTGAGAAAATTCACCGAAGTTCAGGGAAAATCTCTCAAATCTGGGGAAAATTCCTGACAAAATTCACTGAAATTTGGGGAAAACCACCCAAATGCAGAGAAAATTCACCAAAATCGGGAAACATCACCCAAATCTGGGGAAAATTCCTGAGAAAATTCACCAAAATCCAGGGAAAATTCACGAAAATCCGGAGAAAATTCACC